GTGTGTGTGTTGGGGCAAGATATAAGAATTCTCTGCACTATTTGCTCAATTTTTCTGTAAACCAAAACTATTCTAAAAAATAAAGTCTATTTAAAAAGTACAATTTGCTTGAGGCAAAGACATGAATCTTCAAAATGAAAAAACCTAAGAAATGCTGAGTACAATGAAAGGAAACCATTGTGTTTCATTTCCATGATTTTGAATCCCTCCCTCTCATATTTACTGAGCACTTATTTTGGGGCTCTCAATCTCACAATCTAGGGAGTGAGTTTAGACTGCCCCACTGGCCTTGGTTTTCAAATGTTAGCTGTGTGTATCTTCTCTGTAATGGCAAGAACACACAACAAAAGGACACTAACATGCATTTTTAAAGTTCTCTAATTTAGTTTTTAAAAACACATTTAGACACAAATTTATGAAATTTCAAAACTCCAAGGTAAGAAAAAAAATCCATACTGCTTTCAAAGAAAAAAAATACAAAAGAAATGGTTACCCAGAAAGGTTCAAAATCAGCCTGACATCATGCAACAGCAGCTGGAATATAATGCAGCTATGTCTTCAAAATTCTAAGGGAAAAGTATTGTCAATCTTGAATTGTATGAGGACAAAAGGTATTGTAAGTATACAAGAACTTGTCAAGTTTACTCCACACCTATAAGAATTACTCAATAAAATAGTTCAACTGAAAATATAAGTAATCCAAGAAAGAACACATGAGATATAAGAAACTAGGTGCTGAGTCTGTCTCAGATTGGGGGTGGGGGCAGGAGGATTAGAAGGAAAATTAAGAGAGGCTTTATTACATCTCCACTGAACAGTGACGTTTTATAAACATTTCCTTTTCTGTGGCTCTAATCCCACTATTTGAGTCTACATAGAATGATGTTTATATAAAATCACATTGTGAATTCTGTTCATTTTTCCTTTTGAATTGCTATTACTGATATTTTGGGATTTATTTTTACCATCTTATTTTATGCTTCCTGTTTACTCTGCTTTCTCTACGCTTCTTTCTTCTTCCTTTCCTGCCTTCATTTAGATTGGATTGCTTATTTGTATGTTTGAAATGTATTTGTTCACAACTAACAGTAAGTAATTCATTTAGGAATCACTCTTAAAATTTTAACATGCATGCATACTCAAAGTGTGAGGTTAACTAATGTTTTGGAACAATACAAGGACTTTACATTACAAATCCAAATATTTCAGTTCTACATTTGTTTTATTGCCCTTCCACCTGACTAGATGTAACTATTGTTTTACACATGCAATGTTGGCTTAGATTTACCCACTGTAGCGGAAACTCCTGGTGTCCTGCTCAGATCCCTTTTATTGGGCCAGTATACTCACTGCCCAGCTATAGCAGTAGCTGCTGATGGCTGACACTTGCACCATTCCCCTGAGAATTGCTCTCAGCAGGACAGTGCCTCCCTTGCTGGGAGGTTACCCACCCCAAGCCCTAAGGACAGACTGCAGCCAGTGCCAGACTGATAGGGGGATATAAAAAGCCAGCTCTCTTGCCACAAAGGGAGACAACTCAGTGGTGCCAGCATTAGCTTTCTATTGCTGCTGTAACAAATTATCACAAATATAGTGACTTAAAACAACACAAATTCATTATCTTACAGGTGTGGAGGTAAGAAGTCCAATGTGGGTCTCACTGGACTAAAATCAAGGTGTCGGCAGGGCTGTGTTCCTTTCTGGAGGGAATAGGGAACAATCTTTTCTTGCCTTTTCCAGCTTCAAGAGGTCACCAGCATTCCTTGCCTCATGGCCCCCTTCTTCCATCTTCAAAGCCACAACATAGCATCTGTCTGATCATTCTTCCATAGTCACATCTGACTCTTCTGCCTCCCTCTTCCTCTTTTAAGGACTCTTGTGAGTACACTGGGCCCACCAGGATACTCCAGAATAATCTCTTTGAGATTGGTTGACTGGCAACTTTAATTCCATCTGCAACCTTCATTCTCCTTTGCCATGTAACCTAATGTATTCACAGGTTCAGGGGATTAGGACTTGAACATCTCTGGAGGGCCATTACTCTGTCAGCCAGTGTCCTTCAGTGCTCCAGAGCTATTCAGAGGATTAGACTAAGGCTAGATTCCAGCAGAACCCACACAAAGGGACCTATAGGAAGTTGTGCCCTTATTCAACAGTAAACAATATTTGTCACAATAATGTATAAAACTTTATAGAAATTTAATAAATTGTTATCACAAAGATGTGAAAAGGAAGGTGTTACAGAGCTAAATCCACATCTACCATAATAGGAAGCCCAAGTCATTTATCATAATAGAAAGTCTAAGAAATATGGTTGTAGTAAACACAAAGAGAAACAACTAATACAGCTGAAACTTCTCTGGGGAAAAAGCCACTACGTTGGAGAGAGGTAGAGCAGAGAAGTGCTCCTTTCTTTAGAGGCCTTATTTGTACTCAAACACTATTTGACTTTTTGAACTATGTGCATTATTTTGACAAAAATAACTTAAAAAATAAAGTCAGTGAATGAAGAAAAAAAAGTTAAAAAGAAAAGGCCCCCTAAAACAGCAATAACCTATTAATTTTAAGTTCCCATTCCTGGTTCCAAAAAAATAACTTCTGCTAACTAAATTAATAGGTACTCACTGTAAAGACTACAGATGACATAAAAATGTTGAAAATACAACGTGAAAATTCTATATCCCAACCTCTCAGAGACAGCCTCTATGAACATCTGTATGCATACTTACGCTCACCTGTATAGTTTTTCAAAAAAGTGGGATCACACTGTAACCTGATTTTATCATTAAAATGTGGATTTTTCTAGATCAATTTATATAGCTCTACATTCCTCTTAATAATGGTATAGAATTTTATCATTTGCATGTATCATTAAAAGTAATAACAATTTAACAAAAACCAGGAGGCCAGAGGGTGGCAGGGAAGAGGTATGCTTATTTTCTTCATCTTTAATTACAGGGAATTAGCAGATATTATCTAAAGTTGGTAAAGAAGGACAGAAAAGGTATAATATTTAAAGTAATAAAGCCATCTTCTAGAAAAACGAAAAATATATTAGCAATCAAAAAAAGAAAGGGGAAACAGTGGATATATACAAAATTCCTTACCTTTCAGAGTGGACATTCAATATACACTATCCAAACATGGAAAATAAAAATAAGCATAAATAGGGGCCAGCCCCCTGGCCTGGTGGTTGAGGTTGGCGCACTCCGCTTCAGCGGCCCGGGTTCGTGGGTTCGGATCCCAGGCACGGACCTACACCACTAATCAGCCATGCTGTGATGGCGACCCACATATAAAATAGAGGAGGACTGGCACAGATGTTAGCTCAGGGCTAATCTTCCTCAGCAAAAAAAAAA